CTCTGTCATCTAAGGTGGATTCAAATTTGTCCCCTTAGACAAACATTCAACCCAGGTCTACAAGGTCCCCTTGGAAGAAGCAACCCATGGCTGCCGACAAGGATCCTTCTGTTAGGTTGGGTCGACTACCTCCTCTTAGACCAGGGATCACGATGGCCTGGGAGGACGGAACCATGAGATCTTGATTGGGTCCATCATCCATTCCCCCACCATCCGCTTTAAGTGCAAGATTGTGCAATTTCTGTTTTAAATATCAATTTTTCCAAACATCCAAACCCATTTTTCAAATTCCAAACCCATGCTGCTACTATATGTCAGATAACACGTATTTACTACGTATCTGATTGATGACTAGCCTTAATCGAAAGTTCTCTCTCGTGATCGAGAGGGGTAATTAACTATAGGGGCTTGCGCCTATAGGAAACCAGAACTCATATCATAAAGTCCTCACAAAATGAGGGTGAAATCTCTGGTAGTGTCTTATCTTATCTACAAACTCATCTGCCTTCTCAAAATTTACCCCGGAACTTATTCCGTTAAAACTCCCTCGCCAAAAGAAAAAGCACAAATCAGTGTGCGGCGGGGAGGTCAGGGCCGAATTTTCGGAGCCCACATTTCCTATCAATATTATTAGTAGAATTCAAGTTGGATGGTTGAAGTGGTGGAATGCATCGGGTCTATTGTGTGATAGAAAAGTACCCCTCAAACTTAAGGAGAAATTTTATAAGATGGAAGTGAGAACTGCAATGCTTTATGGTGCTGAGTGTTGTCCATTAAATGACAAGCATAAAGTTAAGTGTTGTAGAGATGAGGATGCGTAGGTGGATGATTGGCTTCACTCTTAGAGATAGAATGCGAAATAAGTATATACATGAAAAGGTTGGAGTAACTCTAGTGGCAGGTAAGATTAGAGAGAGTTGTCTTAGATAGTTTGGTAACATAAAACATCGGCCCACCATGTTAGGAGAGTGAATGTATTAGATTTGACCTATGTTAAGAAAGGTATAGATAGACCTAAAAAAGACTTGATTAGAAAATATTAGAAATATTTTTTTTTTATTAGATTTAAATGAAAATTTGACTCTTAACAAAATACAATGGGGAAAAATGATTCATGTAGCCAACCCCACATAGTGGGATAATGGCTTGATGTTATTATTGTTGTAGTAGTATTATCATATAGAAAATTCTGCTAATATTATTATTAGTTTCTTCGTTTAGCTGATATATATATATATATTTATTCCTTTTCTTTCTATTATAAGTGCATGAAATGATGATGTGTTGGATCCTCCTAGAATTTCAATGAATTTCTTAGGTTGGTAAAATGTGCCTGTTATTAGTGTGTTTGAGCACTTTGTTTCTGAATTGAAAGATCAATGCATTTTAACTTTATATATGGGTTATTCTATTTTTTTTGCCAAATCAGGTGGGCGGCGGAGATCAACATTTTATTATGACATTTGGAATATCAAGTACTTGAGTAAATTTAAATGGGATGATTTGACTAATGAAATAGGTAAGCCCGTGCTTTGAAAAGGTAACTGTACTTAAACAGCATTCTATTTGCAGTCAAATGGCTGACTTGAGATGTAAATAATCTAGCAAATAAAAATCGCACTCGAGAGCAGAAGTTAGCCATGGAGATTTCTGCTGCTAAGAGGGAGCGTGACTTCTATATGTCAAAAGTTGATCAATCCCGTGCTTTGAATTCCATCAAGGAGCGCATGAAAAAGGTATGTATATGAGGTTGCTTGATCTCTCGGGTATGAGGTATCATGGATTCATTGTAGCTTTTTTCTGTTAATTTTTATCCCATTTTGGCAAGTGAGGTTGCACCATTACAGCAACAACAACAACATCAAGCCTTTATCCCACTGTGGGGTCGGCTACATGAATCTTTTTTCGTTTAAATCTATTAAAAAAAGACAATTTCTAATATTTTCTAACCAAGTCTTTTTAGGTTTGCCTCTACCTTTCTTAACATAAGTCAAATCTAGTACCTCTACTTTCCTAACCAGGTCATCGGAAGGCCGCCATTTTATGTGACCAAATCATCTAAAGACGACTCTCTCTAATCTTATCTTCTACTATTTTATGCTAGCTGCCTATTCATACTTGTAGCTTAACCGTCAACTTAGTGTAAGTAGGTCCATTCATGCACCTTCTTAGTGTAAGTAGGTCCATTCATGCACCTTCTTTTGTTATTAGAATATGCTTTTATGTTAATTCTTAAAATATTGATATATACTTTTATGTAAAATCTCCATCCACTTCTCTCAGAATGGCTAAAAGTATCCCTCTTGGTGGGCCATGGTTACAATTAGATTCATGTTCCAGAAAATTCTTGTTTTATCTCCTTCCTCAGCTAGCTATTCTAGCCTCTTCTCTAACTTGTTTTCTTCCCCTTGTAAGATTTTGATATTTCCTACCCAGTATGATGATCTTTCAGTAACTTTTCTAATTCTTGTCGTTTTTTTAATATTTGGATTGATTTCATTCTCTTTATAAAAGACATAACATTTCTTGGTCATAACACAATCAATCCAGAGCCTTCTATTGCTGAGCAGAAAGGGATAAGAAGGACCTCAACCTCTCCCCACCACCTCCTAAATATTAGTTTTTAGAAATCCCTATAAACTTCAGTTCTTGTGGGCAACAAAAATTTACGCGTGGTTCTTCTAAGAGAGTTTGGTTCCTGATCAAAATTTCGAAAGATAGATTAGATTGCTGATAACACACTACTTACAGATTTTATTATATGGTTTTAGGTTTCTTATTGTTGCAAGATCCTATGATTATTTATCCTTTACGGTTACAGAAGAGAATTTTTTATTAAATTTAGTCATTAGACATTTAGTGTTTACAATTATTTGATTTCGTGATTTGGGAAATTCACCTCCTTTAGATTAAAGCTGATGGTGGGGCAATGATAATAAACCCAATCAAGATTATAAAGTTGTTATCTTTTGATGATTTAATCAATGGAGGTAGTCAATCAAACTTGACCGAAGGATTCTTATTAGCATTCATGGGTTGCAACATCTAAGGGGATCTTATAGAATTGGAGTTGATGTTTGTCGAAAAGGGTAATTTTAAGTCGATCTGAGCTGATAGAGGGCTTCGTATTCTATCAAGCATCCTATATAACTCACTATTCAAGAGATTTGGGCTAGTGGAGAATTTGCGGGCTAAGTTAAATGATAGTAATTTTATAGTATCATTTTACCGAGAAATTATCTGGTCAAAGGCCTCGATCATAATTGCATTATTTGTAGTGTCATTTGGAGGATTGATTTGAGCCCTCTCAGTAGCTTTTGACGATTTGTCCATGTCGCTTTGCCCCCTCTATGCCATTCCATCTCACCATCTAGTAGAGGATTGATCGAACCTCCCCCTAGTAGCCTCAATAACCTTTTCACATCACTTTTTCACAACCGTCAGGTCCTGCAATCTCAATCTTTGTCCAAACAAGTAAATAAGCTGGCTACTTCTTCTTGAGCCCTCCCAGTTCCCTTTTCAAAATCTTCAGCGTACCCAATTCTATAGGGAAATTATTCTGTGCGAAGTCAGGATGTCGTCCGGAGACCTATAAAAAATGCGCCATATCATCCCAAAAATGTACCGCGCTCGGTATTGCTCTGTACGTACCAAGCGTAATCAAACGATTCTCCCGTCCGGTGTCCGCACTTAGTAATCTCTCTTATTACAGCGACTGGTAAAGTATATCTCTTTGCCAGCGCAAGGAAACAGGTAATTGCACTTGGATGTAAGATAGTTCACATAGAAATATAACATATTTCCTTCCAAAAAGATATTTTATCCAGTCATTTGATTCCAATATTACTAATGTAAGCAGTAATTGATGTGTTATCAATTTAAAATGTTAATTTATTTGATTACTTTCATTTATTTTTCTTCTTATCCCTTTCAAAGAAACAGAAGAGAAGTGAAACAGCACCTGGTGATAAAGCTTCCAATGAACTGGAATCCAGAGTTGTCAGGCAATTTCCACAGAACAAACCTTTCTTAGAACATAATGCCAAAAGAAAAAATCATCTCTCCGCAGATGTATTGGCAGGGGTAAGTCATCATCTTTTCTGTCTTCACAATATACTTGAAGTTTAATTATCACTTGAACTTTTTTTTTTTATGATTATTTTACAGGTATTTACTGGCAGTTCTTGATCTTTATTCTTGCAATTCAAAAATTCAAAAACCTAGAGCTGAACTGTAGAGACTATGAAGCCCTACTAGAATTTTTTTTTTTAAATGTTGAAAATAATTTTATTAATTATTTGTTTTTATTTTAAGGTCCATGACATAATCCATGAATGAATGCAAAAGAATTTTGTGCTTGAGAGCTTCCAGTTGTGAGTATTTTAGATGGTTTACATTCACTTGAAATAATTGATTGCATCTGTCATATAGTACCAATATTTGTTTTCAAATTTTAATGATCTTTATGCTACACTTTGTGATTGTGAATTATGGCTTAGTTTGGGATGGCTTTCTTGATATTTCTTAAAGCAGTTTTTTAGTACAAAAATTTTAATGGGTGTACTTAAAAGCTGTTTTAAGAAGCAGCAAGAAAGCCGTTCCAACCGAAGCATATATCTAATGATGCAAATAAGAAATATGTTGCATTGTTATTTCTTTGAGATCTTATATAGAAGAGTTTACCTTTGTTGAATCCAAAGTTCATGAAATTACCAATATTTGAGGCATGGATTATACCCAAAGAGAAAAAGAGAGAAGGGAGAAATTTGACGTAGAATCTTAGAATATCTTCATTTTGGTCGAAATTTTGTCGAAAGTATAGGGTGATGTTATACTCATGTTTGATCCTTTTCATCTTATATATGATTGTGGTTGTGGTCCAATGTCGGTGGCAAGGGAAGGGATATTCGATTAAGTATAGAAAAAAATAATGATTATGTAAGTTTGGTTGAGTATTATCGAATATGAGAGAACTCAAGGTGAGTGATTTAGCTTAGAGTGAGCCCTCTTAATCTAATGCTTTGTTTTGGGAACAATTATTACGTCCTCCGACCGGACGGAGCTAAAATCGCGCAAAAAAATGAGAAATACCGAGCAATACCAAAACAATAACGAGGAATACCATCATGTGAAGACCCAATACCGAGCTATACCAAGCAAATACCGAATTTTTTGGCGGGATTTTAATGCCGACCGGACGTTCCTCTACGTACGTTCACTGGACCAAATAAAAGTTCTTGTTTTGGACAGCTTTATTATTATTTTCTAAAATAAAAAAAGAACAAAAATTTGACTAAAAAAGTATTTTAAAAAATAGTATGAAAATTATTTGAAACGAATCTTTAATTTCTCTACCAATTAAGTTGGCTTCCAAGGAAGATTCCCAAGCCTCTAATTCAAGATTTAACATCTTATGTATTTATATTTAGTATTCAAATTTTGATATTTACTCTTGTAATATTTCAGTGACTCAATCATATTAAATATATGGATGAAAATATGTATTTTATTTTAAAAAAAAGTTAATGTTAATGATATTTTTATTTGATTTAAAAAATTGCTATTATGAAAGTAAATAATAAAATGTATAAATAATAAAATGTATGTGTTAGATATGTAAATAAATAATCAGGTGGTATGTAAATTCTTCATAAATAATTTGTGATAAATATCTTATTTTTCATATCAAAAATTAATTCTTATTTAATATTATATATTTTCTGTGATGCCCACAACAAAATATGTATAATACTTTCAATGCTCTTTAGTGTATTTTTGTTAAGGTACCAATAATGATCATATTTGTGAGAATTTCCAAGCTTAAATATGACTAATTTTAATATTTTATTCAAATTTAATTAATATTTAATTCAATAATAGTTTAAATAAATAATCTTAGAATAAAATTTGAAAGTCAAATTTATAATAATAAACTCAATATTTTTTCTAATATTTTGTAAATAATAAAGTCAAAAATTTACAATCTCAATCTAACTATATATTCAATGTTTGTATTATCAAGTATTTAATAAAAAAATGAAATTCTGATCTATTCATCTAATATAATTTTACTTTTTTTATCATAAAAAATTAAAAATAATAAACTTATTTTCTGACAAATCCATCTAGCTATTTACTTAGCAATTTTGACTATGCTTCTACCAATTACTTGTTATTACATAATACATAAGAAAATTAATATAAAATTGATTACATTATAAAAATTATCTAAATCGTCATTAAATTAATATTTTATCAATATCTGTAAAATGAAAATTAAATATTGACAAATAAATGGCTCAATGTTCAACTTTACTCATTTATATATTTGACTTTTAAGTATTTTATTTAATTTTATTCAATTATTTAAATAAATAATAAAAAAAAACGTGATATAAAATATTATGAAACACATCATCTGGTATATTAATCCTCTTAAAGCCCAAAAAAATTTTAATAATTAAGACAACACTGATAAGGCAAAACCATCTTTTGCTACGATTTTGTGAATAAGGCTTCGTTTGGGACGGCTTTTTATCGCTTTTTAAAATAACTTTTTAATACTAAAAAACTACTTTAAGAAGCAGTAAATAAGTCGTCTCAAACGAAGCGTAGACGGCTTTCTTATTACTTCTTAAAGCGACAGCACTTAAAATTTAAAACCCTAAAATCTTAGTAGTAGAAAGTTACTTTAAGAAGTAGTAAAAAAACCGTCCCAAGCCTAAGTGCCGGTCATAAAACCCTAAATAAGGTTAAGAAAGTAGAAGAGCTAATACAAAATGTGCTGTTAATGAACTTGGCAATTAGAAAGAAAATTAACGTAAATTCAAAATTTGTATGTGCTTGATAAGCCAATCAAATTAATATGAACAGTGATTCTTAGCTCATTTATTTTTCTTGCCAAAAAAAAAAAATGTTTACTTGTCATCTCCAATTGGAGATTAATATTAAGTAATTGAACATAAACACTACAATATATAAATAATCTGATCAGAAGAATTTCTCTATTACAGAGCCATAGATCCTTACTGGAACATGACAGCAGAACTATTTGTCCAGATAATTAGTTGTCCCTATGAAGCTTTTGGGGTCTGCTCAGGCATGGATTTCTTTCTGTGCTTGTTCTTGTGCTTTTTGTTGAATCTGAACTGCTTCATGATGTTTTTTTCCCATTCTTTTTTATGTTTCTGGTAGATGAACATTGCTGCCCGGGCATCCTCAATCTGAAGATAAAATAAAGTTGCTATGTTAACAACTATAAAAAGATGCTAAACCAAGGTTTAATTTGTTATTTTAGTTGAGGATATGAGCCTATATTTCATTAATGGGAGTAAGAAATAGAAGTCCATCAATTTCATTAAGATTATTGTTCATTAAATTGACTTCTAAGAACATCAATATATGCTTAGGATAGATATTCAAATTTAGGCTTCATTTAGGACAGTTTTCTTTTTGCTTTATAAAAAAGTTCTCTAGCACAAAAATTTCTAGTTCAATAAATTTTGTACTAGAAAATTGCTTTATAATTAATAAAAAATCTGCCCCAGATGAAACCTTAGTGTGCCAAAGTTTGTGTAATATGTCTCAACACACTTTCGGATGCCCCAAAAGGGAGAAATTATTCTGCGGAGACTGGACGATGAGAACTGTCCGGATTTGTTGCGTTTTTACTGCTCTTTTGCTACGCTTTTGACAATAATCATCAATAGGGCAGCAAATATGTAATTATGAATGCTCTTTTGCTAAGTATTTGTAGTGCTTTTACAAAACAACAGCAAAAACACAGCAATTATTCAATTAGTAGGATATTTGCTGTGCTTCTGCTACCTTTTTGTTGGCAGTAAAAGCGCAACAAATCCGGACGGTTCTCGCCGTCCAATCTCCACACAGAATAATTTCTCCCGAAAAGGAGATCCAAAGTTGTTTGTCAAACACTCGAAGGACAATCAGAATATAGAGGTCCATCATGATGTCCACCACCTAGACTGTCCATGCAAAATGTTTCATTGATTCTAAGAAAATCTACAACAAATAATCAAATGAAATGCTGATGATCTAAGCATTGATTCATAATTATCAATAACTGTCATTTTTTGTAAGAAAATAATTCCTGTTTTTAGAATTCATTCGATTAAAGCATTCAAATATGCTTAATTTTGGAATCCAAATTATATTCTTTATTTCAAATCCACTTTTTTAATGAAAGGATTGAAGGAAGGAGAAATCAACTATGATTTTCTAATTGAGATATCTGAATTCATGAAAAAAATTACTTAAAAAATGCTATTCTTCTATCCACTATTCTAGATCCAAAAAGCAGGAAGCAGCTTGGACCACCAGTAAAGAACATAGCCACAGCAGACTGATATGAAGAATGGGGTGGGCTAAACAAAGCCTTCGATAATCTTTTAAAAAAATTAAGCCCAGTCATGTGTTACGGTACAGCCCAAACCGGCCCAGGAGGGGCCGGTTCAAACATATAAGAGGCGGGCTAAGCCACCTCCTTTAGGGGCCACCGCCTAAGCAAGTGGGGCCCCCCTTTTGGGCAGCAATTAGAGAGAGAGAGAGAGGGGGCGGTTTATGCATGAGGATGCTAATTTGAATTTATTTTATATTAGGAAGCCTTTAGGAGGTGCGAAATTTAAAAGCATGAGAAAGTAGGGTTAGGATTTATGTTTTGATTATTGTTTCTCTTGGTGGCTTTGGGCTCTAGATTCATTATCTAGAAATTGGAAGAGAACGATCCTCCACTCGAATCGAGGATCAATTTTATCTTTTGCTTATTCTTGCCTTTGGTTTTATTCCTACAATACAATATACTGTTTTTGATTGTTTTTATAGGAGATATTGAAATTTTCTCGATGCTTTCACCAATTCTTGTTAGGGTTGTTTGTGAACTCAATTATTTCCCGTTAGGGTTACTTGCGAACTCAAGTATTTCCTATCATCATGCTAAATATCAAATTGAAGTCTTGTGAGCTAGTTAAAATGTAGAATGTCACATACAGAGCAGTGCTCCTTTTGCTGAATTTTGGCTCCAAGAATCTCAGCAGCAAGATCTCTAAGAGCCCTCTTGCGTCCTTCCCTAATAGATTCCAGCTCTACAAGTTAGTAAATGTGAGCTAAAACATGCAGAAGCCACTGAACGCTTTAGCATTTAAGTGCGGATTGTGAAATTTGAGAAGAGATGGAATACCTGAGGAAGGGCTGATATTCTGCAGTATCTCTAGTATCTTTTCTGGGATGACTCAATAATAGCACCTGGGGTTACAGTCATATCCAGAATCGGTATATTACCAAATTAAGATAGACTCATGAGATAAGACATAAGCTTCGTTTGGGATAGCTTTCTTACTGCTTTTTAAACAATTTTTTAGTTGTACTAAAAAGTTGCTTTAAAAAGCAGTAAAATAGTTGTTCTAAAAGAAGCAATAATTTGCTGACCACAACCTTCAAATCATTGTGTAAAGCATGACCTACAAGGATCCTTCCTTTAATTGCTTCAGCAACTTTTTTCTGAACAGTAGAAAATTCCTTTGCTGCAATCATATTCATTCAACTAATTCAGAAATCATTATTTATATTCACAATCAATCTCCATATACGGAGAAATTATTCTGTGTGAACACCGAACGTCGTTTGGAGATCAACCAAAATGAGCCACGTCGGTACCGCTCAGTACCACGGCTCGGTACCGCTCGATATTGCTGATGTGGCTCATTTTAGTTGGTCTCTGAATGTAAAGCTGCGTTTGACATCGGCACAGAATAATTTCTCCCATATACAAGAATTCAGTTAGAAAAGTGTTGGGTACAAACCTTTCATCAAATTTCTTGGCCGAATCCCACTTATCTTTGTACGGAAGTCAACAACATACTCTATAGGACGAACATATTCATCATATACAACATTTCCCCACGTATTTACCTTCAGAAATATCAAATTGAACGTAAATCATACATAAAAAAAAAAATTTCTTTATTAGTTTGACTGACAAGTGCGCAAGAATAGATTATATGAATAAAGAAAGCAAAAAAGATATAAAGCTATATGACTACAGTCCGCAGTACTGCATGTGGAAGTCAGTTATTTATCCACCTAAAATGTGACAAATTTTATTCTGAAAATTAAAAAGGAAAAAAGCTCTGTAATGAAGTTTCGACTTTTTTTATCAGCCTGTACACTTATTACTGAGACTCAACATAAGCAGACTCTTCAAATGAAGAAAGAATACCATAAAACCTCTCAAACCTTCTCCTCTCACCTGCCCATGGTGCAAAAACCGTCAACTCCATCCACTACACGGGTAGAGAAAAAAAAAAAAAGCTTCCCCAGTTTTATTCATTTCATACCTATTTTGTCCAATAAAATTGTAAATTTCAAGTTACATTCCATGCCAACGTATTTAAGCATTTGCATCAATAGTCATAATCATCAAATCTTGTATCATATCCCATTATGAATCTCACTAGTGCCAAAATGTTATAAAAATGTGAGGTAAGACGAAATAAAGTTAAAACGCGCAAAATCCCCCAAAAAAAAATTTCACATATTTCAAAACTTTAATTTTAGCATAGCTTTGTCACTTTTAATGCAAAATCAAAAGCCATGCTTTCTTCATCCCAAATGACAATTTAACAAAATTTGAAATTTCATATAAAATTTGAGAGATTATAAAATCTTGCAACATTCAAGATTCGATTCACAAAAAAGTATTTGACATATGTCAAACTTCACTGATCTTCAATCGCACACACCAATCATTAAAAAAAATTAATATAAGGGCAATGATAGAAATCACTAAGTTAAGATTTAGACCTCACGACCGTACAAGGAGCCTAATCCCCTAGAAGTAGGCAAGACTTGTGAAGTATAATTTACATCATACTACACACACATAAGAATTGAGAAAATGTCCAAGATGATACCCGACTGTTTACGGGTGTCATTCCACTCTCATACCATATAAGGACAATTATAGTCCATATATTCCTTAACTAAGAGCCAAAATAGTCTCCCCATCAAAAATAATAGAAATTGACGTTTAAGTTAACAAAAAAAATTAAAAATAAGGGTACTATAGGAATATATATCTTCTTCTTGAATTTTTTACAAAACTTAGTCTTTTTACTTACCTAGATTTTTCATGTACACCAACTAACTTTGCTTACAACAGGAGTGGACTAAGATTGTGCAGATTGTTTGGTGCATGCTATTTGCATATAGTATTAGAGATGCTTAAAAAGGGCACTTCAAGGAAGGTACCTTGTGCATACTATTTGCATGTGACATAGTTCAAATTGTTAATAACTATTATGAAATAAGTGAAAAGTTAGTATAATGGAGGAGACATTTAGAAGTTATGGGACAAAAGATTAGTAATAAAAATTAACTATGTGATATACAATTTAAGAGAATTTGAAATTGATATACGTAAGTCAACTTTGCTAGAAGATTAAGTGATATCATGATAGATTTTAAGTACATTTGAACTGTTATAAAGAGGTATAAAGAAAATTTGTGATATATGTAAAAATATGCTTCTAGACTTACACATGAATGAACTAAATGCAGAAGTTTCACTAGCATACCATGCGAAAATAAAATAGCTTTGATGCATGATGACTCAGGATTATGTTTACTAAATAAACTTATATGATGCAAATTATGCTTTCATGATAAAAAAATACAGAGAATTCACAGTTCACAAGAAATCAATTAATTCAACTAACAATCTTTATTACAAGAACAAGAAGAAGTCTTTATCCCACTGTTTGTTGATCACCTTTCTAACATGAGTCACTTGCATGGCCTTATCACTCAAATTTTGTAGATAGATACACTTGTTTGTATGTTGCATTACTTTGTGCTCTATGAAAGATCAAATCATGCATTTTTTTTTACCTCAATTCATCGTCGACTTTGGAATTTATTCCTTCAGATCACACGTTGCCCGTTATCATATCTTAAAACATGTGTGATCGGGTCAACGATGATTTGACGTATATTTTGCGTGTATTTGAGTCTTTATCGTATATATTTGTTTCGTGTATGATATCTTTTGATCGGGACCTCATATTGCGAAACGGACTGCTCGAGCATGTCCGGGTCGCTGAGATATTTCAAACGAGCCTATTAGCGCTTGAAGTGGTAACGTTTAACTCATGTCGAGGAGAGAGATTGAGATCCTTATTTCTATTATTACTTTTCTCATTATTTTCAAATATATATAATATAAAAATATACCTTTTTATTGATTAAATAAATATAATATCATTTATTTTAATTAAAATATGAATACAAAATTAATAACATTTCTATCACATAACAAGCCCGTTGCATTCCTCCACTTCAACCATCCAGCTTGAATTCTGCGGATAATATCCCCATCTATTTCACCATCACTCTGAACAATAGATCCAAGATATCTAAAACGTGTACTCTTATTAATGACTTGATCGCCCAAAGTCACAATCCCCTCACTAGGTCTATTACTACTAAAATTACACTCCATATATTCCGTTTTAGATCTACTCAAGCGAAAACCTTTAGACTCTAAGGTTGACCTCCATAATTCAAGTTTACCTTCAACTCCCTCTCTAGTCTTATCAACAAAAAAAATATCATCAGCAAAAAGCATACACCAAGGTACATCCTCTTGCAAATGTCTAGTGAGAACCTTTTTATTTCCTAAATTAAGAAAAATTTTAGATCTAAAGGTTGAAATTTGTGAATTATATTATTTAATTTTAGCCCTTAGATTCAGGGCATCAAGAAGAGATATAATTTGAACCCTTGGATTAAGGGTTTGTATTTTCTCTAATATTCATTTCATAGTGTATCAGGTTCACTCTTGTTGATGGATATCTATAGCAGCTGACTCTAACCAAAAAAGGCTCTTCCTCTCAATTTCTTTCTGGTTCGTGGTGGCTGCATGAACTCCTTCCCCTCTCGTTTTTCTCCAGTTCAAAGAGCACAAGAGCCCGAAGCCTTCTCTTCCACGCGCAGAAGCTTCCAGTCGCCGACCACTAGGGGAGATCCGCGTTTTCATCTTCCCCTCTTCACATGTAACAGCTCTCTGCACACACCTCCCTCTCCATTTCCCCATCCGTCCAAAGAAGGAGCAACCATAGGAAAATTTCAGCAGACTCTATCTCTTGAAGATTTCGGCCAAGACAAAGCAAAGAGGGTTGATTTTACTCTCATGTGGACGTGATCCTCTTCCATAATTACAGCAGTTTGCTAGAAAAAAAAAGTGAGTAAAAGATGCTCTTCTTAAGACTTGTTGTAAGTTACATACTAATTTGAGAATATAAACATGCTTATTTTGAAAAAGATGGTGACAACTCCCGTTGACTGTTATTGTATTGTAGTTCCTTTAAGCATGTTTTAATGTTATTCTTTCTATCGATTTGGCTTTTTCTAGTGATCGAACCAGAGAGATTAATGTCTAACATTACTAATAGATCTGTTAGCCTTTCAAGACATTAACTTAGCTTTTAAATCTTGATTAAAAGTCCATGCTTAAAAATAGTCTTTATATATATTTAATCATGATGGAGATGATGAAAGGGCCTCAATACATAGTAGATCTGTGAGCGATGATGTGATAGTGATATTCATTTCGATCAATTTTGATCCATTAATCTTGAACATATATATGCTATGATTTGATGCAATTGTCATATGGTGAATAATCATTGTTCACCAAATTGTGGTGTTGAATAAATCTGTGCAACCATAGTTGTATTCCATATATTTATTTACATGCCTTCTAAAATGTGATGTTCTCTGCAATCAAACATTAATCTCTCTGGTTATATCACTAGAGAAAGCCAAATTGATCGAAAGAATATCATTAAAACATATTTAAAGGAACCACAATACAATAACAATCAATGGGAGTTGAGACCATTTTTTTTTTTCAAAATAAACATGTTTACATTCTCAAACAAGTATATAACTTACAATAAGTCTTAGAAAGAGCAATTTTTACTCACTTTTTTTTAGTCCAGCAAACTGCTGTAGTTATGGAAGAGGATCATGTCCACATGAGAGTAAAATCAACCCTATTTGTTTTGCCTTGGCCGAAATCTTCAAGAGATAGAGTCGGCTGAAATTTTCCTAAGGGTTGCTCATTTGGACGAATAGGGAAATGGAGATGGAGGTGTGTGCGGAGAGCCGTTACATGTGAAGAGGAAAAAGATGAAATCACAGATCCCCCCTAGTGGCCGGCGACTGGAAGCTTCTGCGCGTGGGAGAGAAGGCTTCGGGCTATACGGCTCTTTGAACTAGAGAAAAACGAGAGGGGAAGGAGTTCATGTGGCCACCACGAACCAAAAAGAAATCGAGAGGAAGAGTCTTTTTTTTATTAGGGTCGGCTGTTGTAGATATCCCTCAACAAGAGTGAACCTAACACACTATGAAATGAAAATTAGAGAAAACACAAACCCTTAATCCAAGGGTTCAAATTAGATCTTTTCTTGATACCCTGAATCTAAGGGCTAAAACTAAATAATATCATTGACAAATTTCAACCATTAGATCTAAAATTTTTCTTTATTTAGGAAATAAAAAAGTAAAGTAAAAAATGAACTTGTATTTAAACCTTTGTTTAAAATTGCACAATAAGAGACGCGCCTCTGCGCAATTTGTCACAAAAACGCCTCGAGGCTTACACAATTCCGCTCCTGGCAGAGGCGTACGCCTCACCTGGTCTGAGGCACGCCTCAGAGGCGCAATTATGGGTGAGGCGTACGCCTCATAGAACCGGCCCCACCTACTTAAAATGAATCCTCTTCTTCCCTTCATCCAGCTCGGGTTCCAGGTTTTCCCGAAAACTTCCGTCCCGCAAGCCTCTGTTCACGAAACAGACGGACTCCACCATCGGCCGCCGTTCCCGCCACCTCTCCCGTCGGCGCCGCCTC